GTCTCGGCTACTGGTTCCTGGCTGAGAACTGGCAGCACTGTCGCTTGGCCTCTTTCTCGTGCTGTCGTGGTGGGGATCTGCGGTCGCCTTCGGCCACGCCTGGCCCTCTCTGCATTGATATACTCGGGAGAGTACTCGATGCCGTGGCCTGGCGCCGGCCCCATGCCCTGTGGAACTGGACTTGGTGTAGTTGTGATGTGTGCTGGAGGTGGCCGTGGCGTCGGAGAACGCGTTGGGGATGCTGGTGATATGGCTCCAGCCTGAGACGCACTCCGCTTCACGGGTTGTTGTGATGGCATTTGGCTCCCCCCATCGTAGTTCAAGTTGTCCGATCCAGCCCGCGCGGCCTGACTGAACAGGGGCTCGCGTGATTGGGCGTGGAGCATGCTGTCACGTAGACGATGAGGTTCGCCATCCAGGGCGTCTGGGTGACTGGTAGCACCCGTGCCGTGGTGGGAGCGCGCTGATGCCGAGGGGAGCGTCGGCTTCCAACTGCTGGACAGCGGTGAGCTGCTTGGGCCCGTCGGGACTGGGGGCACAGGTGCTGCTGGTTGAGCTGCTGAGCCCGACGGGTGTGGATCCACCGCCAGGTCGTGGTATCTGTTGTGGCTGCTGCTGTTGTCCCGACGACTGTGGCTCTCCGCAGCACGCCGTGCGCGGCGTGCACTCCGCTGGGCTGTTCGGAAGGCTGCAACTGCGCACGCTTGCCTCCAGTTCTCGTAGCACTGCTCCATGCCATCCTCTGCCTCGCTGCCAGCCGAGTTTTGACCGTCGAGAAAGGTCCTTTCCACGTTCTCGATCTCATGGACTCGAATGGCGGAGGGTTGCACACTGATTGCAAGGGCAGCCGGTAACGCATCCTTGCAGCCATCTTGGTGGCTTGTGACCTGGAGTGCTGACAGATTGGCGGATGCCTCACTCCTCCCTGGTAGTGGGCCGCCTTGGTTGCCGCCTAGCGCCCCTCGAGACGCGGCGGGCGGCCCTCGTGTCGGCCGTGGTGGTGTCACATTGGCCCCTCGAGACCCAGGTGACTTATACCGCTGCTGAGGCTGGCTGCTGCGATTGGGAGTGGCAACCCCACTGCCGATGCCCGTTGCGGTATCACATCTGTTTGGAGTCGTGGCCCCTCGAGACCCTGGACTCCTGGAAGTACCTGATCTGGTGCGCGAGATTGTCGGAATCTCCGCTGGTCCATTTGTTACAAGACGGCTGTCGCAATTACCTCCAGGGCCCGCCGTGCTGTCAAGCCTCTGGTGGTGGGTAGGTCGAGCATCGTAGTGGAGGACCCCACTGCCGTGCTGCGGGCTTTGGGCCCCAGCTGCTCTCCCCGAAGCTGCCCAGGAGATCGATGCTGTCGAACTGATCGGAGAGCGTGACGAAGTCCCACATCCGTCGTGCTCTGCCCTGTTGGACTCATCGGCCGCCTCCTGGCGATGAATTCTGTCATGCATAACCTGAAGCCTGGCGGCGCTGCTAGGCCCCCTCCCCCCCTCGGGGGGATTCGGCGGGCGCTGCTGCTGCCTGCACCTCGGCTCCAGGAGTTGCAGGAGGGGAGGGGGTTGCTGTGCCCCTTGTCTCGTCCCTCCTGCGGGCCACTCGGCCACGAAAACGGGCTATGCCTGACTCTCCAGAGTCTACCCGCTGACCCTTGTGGGCCTGGCTGATGTCTTCTCCTGGAAATGCGGGCACTGGACCGAACGCCTCTTCGAGGGCTGCAGCTGCGGCGGCGGCTGAGGTGTGCTGGCGCGTCATGATGTCGATGCCCTCATACTGCCTCTCGATGCTGGCCCCTGCCGCCTCCGCGTTCTGCTGGGACGCAGGGGGAGGGGTCAATACGAAGCTGCTGGCTCCCTCTCCACCACCGTGGCCGCGCTGCTCCTCATGCCCGAGTGGAACTGTGGGCGTGAGTGACATCTCGCTGAGTGGCGCTGGCGATGCTGGAATGAGGATTACCTGAGATGCTGTCGGGGTGGGAGGGTCTCCTTGCTCTGCTGGTATCGAGCTAGCCCTTGACGTGGATGCCAGGTCTGTGTCTGCCTCGTGCTGCGTGATCCCCCTCATCTCATCGCCCTCATCGGGTGTGGGGTGATCCTGGCTCCAGGGCGGCCACCTGGCGGGGTAGATCATCGGCGCGTGCTCCGAGCCGTCGTCCTCCGCTCGTGAGTCCTGCGTGCCCGCTGTGCCGAACTGGGTCAGGGGGGCCTCCTCGTAGTAGCGCCTTTGGATCTCCTTCGCCTCGTGGTCCCTCACTACGGACTCCAGCTCCTCCTCCATCTGTACGGCTTCCCATTGTGCTTTCTCCTCAGCAGCTTGTCTGTGCAACTCATCTTGTTCGCGCTCGTATCTTTCTGCCTCCTCGTGCGGGTCTGGCCTGTCGGGGCTCCTGGACCTGTCACGCTCTGTGAGGAGGGCCTCGCCTTCGTCGGTCTGGCGGGTTGCTGACCTGGCTGACCTATTTGATGCGGGCCTCCGAGGGGAGGGGCTGCTCTGCCTGCGGCCCCGGTTGGCTGGGCGCTCTTCAGCTGCACCAATTTGGAAGGTCGCAACGGGGGGCTCGACTGTGGCGGCCGCTGCCTCGGCTGCTCCTCTGGCTTCCTCGTACAGGTCGGCGGCCTCCTGGTAGTCGTCCATGGACTCTTGGGACGTTGGGAGGTGGCCCCCTTGGACGAGATGATGAGCTGCCCTCTTGGTGAAGTCGTAGCCCTCCTGTCCGTATTGCCTCATCTCGGCGTACAGGTTGACCATGGCCTTGCGTTCGCGTTCCCTGCTGGCTGCGATGGCTTCCAGGCTCTGCATCCTCAGCTTTAGCTCCTCTGTCTCCGACGCGCCCTGCTGCTCCTTCTTTGCGATGGCGTCTAGCTCGGTGTGCAGCGTGCTGGAGCGCTGGAGGCTTTCTTGCAGCGCAAGGTGGATAGCCTCCTCCCTGCCCGTCCTCTGCTGGCTGGCGAAGTCTTCCATGGCGGAGGCCTCCTCCATGCTGGCGATCCTGAAGGTGAGGGCCTGGGCGAGCTCCTCCTCAAGCGCCTGCTCCTGCACCTCTGCGTTGGACTTTTGCTCGCTCAGCTGCACCGCGTAGCTGCTCAGTTCCTGTCGCAGGCTCTCTGTATGCAGCTGCAGGTCATGTGCGTTCGCCTCTTCTATCATGACTTGGCGGGCGAAACTCGCCCTTATTCCCTCAACACTGCCTTCGAGCTCTGCCCGCATTGCCTCCTTGTCCTTCAGGCTGGCCTTCGCGACCTCCTCCTCCTCTGCTCTGGTCCTTAGCAGGGCGAACTGCAAAGCCTGCACCTCATGCGGGACTTGCCGCTCCTTGTTGGCGCTTCTCAGCTCCGCTGCTTCATGGCATGCCACCTGTGCTGCCCGCTGCGCAGCGCCCGCCTCAAGCTTGGAGTACTGCTGTAGCTCGTGTATGCGGGCTTCAGCTGCCTCGAGCTCGTTTTTGGTCTGCTTGAGCCGCTCCTGCTGCCGTGCTGCTGTCTGGACGATCCCTTGCAGCCTGGCCGCCTCTGCCGGCGGGAGGGCCCCTTTTCCCTTGGCGTTGGCAACCACTTGAGCCTGGGCGATTGCCTGGACCCTGGCTGATTCGGCGGCAGCTTCTATCTCGAGGGCGTGGTTCTTTTTGGCCTCCTGGAGCTTCTCTTCCATGACCAGCTCCTGCCTGGCGAGCTGCTGCTTGAGATTACCCGCTGCAGCTGTCGCTTGGGCGCTCTCATGCTGGGCCCGTCGCAGTGACTCTTGTGCCTCGGCTCTTGCCCTCATCAGGTCTTGGTAGGCGCCGTCCTGGGGTTGCGGCTTCTCCCGGTGCTCCGCTCGTACTTGCTCGAGCTGCTCATGCAGGTGATTTGCCCGGTGTGTCGCGGCTTCCGCCTCTGCCTTGGCATGAGTGAAGGCTGTGTCATGGCTGATTATTCTGGCCTCCTCTGCGTCGCGAACTCGAGCTGCTCGTATTGTTGCCTCTTGATCTCATGTCGGAGGGCCTTGTGTTGCTGCTGTTGCTGCTGCTGGGCTGCGCTCTCCGCTGCGGTGATGCGCTGCAGCTGCTCTGACTCCTCCTTGAGTGCCAGCCTCAGTTTCGCCTGCTCGCCATTGTGGCGTAGTGCTTGTTCGCGAGCAACCCTCCTTACTTCCGCCAGTTCGGCAGCGAACTCTTGCTCGGCTTCGGCATGGCGCTGCTGCTGGTGGGCCCGCTCCGCATTTGCCTTGGCCACCTGATCTGCGAAGCCTCTGGTTGCGCTGCCTGCCGAGCTGGCTCTTGATCGTGGCGATTGCCCTACCACTCCTGATGGCCAAGCTGGGAGTCCGTCACCAGGTGCTTCGCTGTTCAGGCGCCTGTCAATCACAGCCTTGTGGAAAGCATCCCAGCTCGGTGCCAAGCCGAACCCGTCCGTGTCCCAGTCGCCCTCGTCGTCCGCCGCGCCGCCGTCGGCGAGCACAGCCCTCACGTCGGCGATGTTGGACTCGAGCTGCCTCAACTCCTGCTGCTTGGCCTTGAGGTCGTCCCGCAGCTCGTTCGACTTGGCTTCTAGGGCGATGACTTCGAGTTTGACGGCCTTGCGCCTCTTGCTGAGCACCTGCAGCTGGTCGTTCGGCCTTCTCGTGACCAGCTTCTGATACTTGATGACCGCGATCTCCCGTAGCTGCTCTTCAGTGCTGTCCCCCGCGGCCTGCTTGGCAATGATCAGGTCGCCCAGCTTCCTCAGCCTCTGATCGGCGGTGCTCAAGAACTTCTGGATGCCTGCGCGGTCGGCCGGGGGCGCCTGCCACTTTGGGTGGGTGGTGGCCTGGTCCAGCGTGCATGCCGCCACTGAGTCGATGACCTTTTGAGCACGCTGGTCCGCTTTGCTGGAGCTGGCCTGGCCACCCTTGCCCGCCCTGGGCTGGTGCTGCTGCTGCTGCCAGGGATGCTGACTGGGCTGCTGGTGCTGCTGCTGTGGCCATTGGCGAGGGCTGGCCTGGCCAGAGCGTCGTGGCCGCGACGGCTCCCTGCGCCAGGGCGGTTCCTCAGCAGATGGCTCGGCGTGCCAGTGCTGTTCTCGCCAGCCAGCGCCGTGCCACCTCTCCTGACGCCATGGGGGCGCTGCTGGCGGTGCTTCTTCCTCTTGGGCCTGGCCTTTGCCGCTACGGCCACCACCGCCTCTGCCCTTACCATCACGAGCCATCGCTGGCTGGGCGGAGTGGTGGGCGGCCAGGCGCTCGGCCGCTGCCCGCAGGCGGAGCAGGAGCCTGTCCTGGGCTCTCTGCTGCCGCTCGCGGCGGTGGGCAGCGCCCTCTGGAGCTCCTCCTCGATGATGACGCGGCGTCCCGCCGCTTGGCCGCAGCGCGGCCGCGAGCGCCGCGGCCTGCGGCAGGGGACGGGGAGGCACGGGTGGCCCCCTGCCGCAGGGTATGGCGCGCGGCGCGCGTGAGCCCGGCCTCGGGGGCTGGCCGATGCGCGATGCGCCCTGCCACCGCGATCGATCGGGCGGCAGGCGCCGACCGACCCCGATGGATCGATCGGGATCGGCTGGCCCCAAGAGGCCAAATGGCTTTCCTCCTCCTCCTCCTCCTCCTCCTCCTCCTCCTCCTCCCTCTCCTCGTCCTTTTCTGCCTCTCCCAAGTGCTCCCCCCACGCTGATCCACTGGGCGTCAGCAGCAGCCGCGCGCGCGCGCGCCCTCCGCGCGCCCAGGCCCGCCCAGGGCGCGGGCGCGGGCGAGAGCCGGCGGCTGCCCTCGCACGGCGCCCTGGGCGTCCTTCCAACGCTCGCCGTCGTGCCTCTCTCGGGTGCTGCCAGAAGTGCCCCTGGCCCAGGGTGCCCCCCACAGGGCTCATTTCGATTCCTCCGAGTCGATTCGATTCGATTTCGATGATTTCCGATTCCGATTCGATCCGATTTCGGATTCCGATTTTGGCTCAGATTTCCTAACGAAGGCCTACTAGGCTGCCGATGTCCGCCGATTCGACTTTTCCCGACTCGGCTGCCGATTTCCGCAGACCCGATTCATTTCGATCGCCGATCCGACCTGTCGATTCGATTCTGGGCTCTCCTGCCCCCAGGGTTCTCGGGGTGGCCCAGGCGGCCTCCAGGGCACCCCTCACGAGGCCCAGAGGACCCCAGGGGCCGCAGAGTGGAGCGGAGAGCCGGGGGGGCGCCCCGGGCCGGGGGCACTTCCAGCAGCACCCGGCTCTCCTCTCAGGAGCAACGTTGGGGGGGATGGGGGATAGGGGAGCCAGGACGAGGATAGAATCGGGTGAGGACAAATCGAGAATCTCGGAGGTCCCGAGCGGTTCTGGAGGATGTCTCGGGCGCCGCGGCCTTCTCAGAGCGTTCCAGAACGCTCTGGAGCGGACTTATTCTCGTCCTGGCCCCGTCCGATGGGCTCAAGTCGGACCTGTCCCTCTACAGGGGGAATATTCAAACATATTCCAAACATAGTCTGGGGATCATGTTTGATTATTTTAGGCATCTTTGGAGCATTTTTGGGGTATGTTTAACTTTTCGTCCAAAATCCCCCCGTTGGGGGACACGCCCGACTTAACGATAGGCTCATGTGGGGACGCATCGACACCTCACCGCCCTCTCATCGCCGATGGGAGCGCGATGGCCCACCCCGCCCAGGAGCGTGCGGACTCGCTGCTGGGGGCCCATCGCTGTTCTATCGGCGATGTACCGCCGATTCCGGGTCGATGCTTCCCCCCATCAGCCGGCCCCCTCCCAACGTTCCCATCCATCCTAGAGGCCTTTCAGAGGGCCGCGGAGGGCCTCAGAGCTTCCTTTCGTGTCGGAGGGTCTCGGAGCTTCCTTTCGGGGGACTCTGGATTCGCCCGCTGTCAGGCCTGCCCGAGAAACTCGCGCGTGCTCGATGCTGTCGTGTCCTGGTACTGCTGGATCGGCGTGCGTCTTTCGCTTCTGCGCGGGGGGGCGCCTTTCCCCCCAGGGGCCGCTGTATTCTCGGGCACCCAGGGCGAAGCAGGGGCGTATACGGTAGGGGGAAACAGTGTGTGGAGACTTTTCCGCTCCCCAGATCTCAAAGTCGGCATGCGCGGCGGAGTCTGCGGTCGAAGTGCAATTCATCAGACCCGCCGCCAACTTTGGACATCGGGGGGAGGGGGGGAGGCGTTGGCCGATGAGTGTGGCATGCGTGTTCGCTATTTTTGTCGAGGCCTGTATGAGTGAAGATTCGTTGGCTTACGCCGCACCAGCGGTCCCGCAGGGTGTTTCGGCTTCTCGGGGGCTCCTCGGGGGCTCACCTCTTGCTGGCTTCTTGGGGGCCAGCTGGCGGCCTCCAGGGGCCTCTCCGGGGCGGCGGGTCCGAGGGACTTCGGCACGTCCTGCCACCGTGCCGTGGTGTGGGGTCGGAGTTCTTCGGGATGCCTCTCGGGATCTCTTCGGAGCACTCTCGGGGGCCCCTTGGGGGCCGTTTGGGGGTTCCTGGGAGCATCTTGGGGGCTTCTGGGGGCTTCATGGGGCTCTCGTGGAGGGCCTCTTGGGACCTCCTGGAGGCCTCTCGGAGCCGAGGGCTCGAAGTGCCCGCTCGGGTCCCCCATCTGGGCCCCCTCCTGGAGCCGTATTGGAGCTGTCTTCGAGGCGTCTTGGGCCGTCTTGGGGCCCTCTTGGAGGCCTCTTGTGCAGTCGTGGGGCGATGTTGTGGGCTTTGTTTGGGCCGTCTTGGAGCACTTGTAAGCCGAAAAGTCGAGAACGCCAAAAAGTCAATCAAAAACCTAAGAAAAACAAAACAGTGATCGTTGCATTTTGGGGCCCTCGTTGGAGGCCTCTAGGGGCGTCTTGGGGGCTTCTTGTGCCATCTTGAGGCCATCTTGGGCGTCTTGGAGCGATCTTTCGGCGACCCGGGGCCCTCTTGCACCGTCCTGGGGCCTCTTGGGGCGCCCTTGCCCATCCAGAATGTTTGGCAATTTCGGGTCCCGGCCCCCAAAAGAGTCCCCCCAGCCGAAAGAATCAGGACGCCCCACCCGACGCCGTACCTGAGCCTGGCGCCCTACACCAGCCCGAAGCCCCACCCCAGCCCGATTCCTGACCCGACGCTTCACCCCAGTCCGACGCCCTACCTGACGCCCCACCCCAGCCGGCCGCCCGATTCTTGTTTCTCTCCGACGGCCTGCCCCGTTTGCCATACCGTGCTGGCGCAGGGGCCCGACGACACTTCCGCGCACAAGGAGCTGACTCTTAGCGCAAGAAACATAACACCATGTGAGCCGCCGCGATCAGGGCAGTGTAGAAGCATGCAGTGCGACAACAGCTTTGGAAGCGTTTTCTCAGAGATCTCTTGGAGCCATATTGGGGCTCTCTGAGGGTCCTCGCGGAGCCTCTTGGGGCACTCTTGAAGCCCGTTTTGAAGCTCTCGTGGAGCTTTCTTGAGGCCCTCTTGGGGCTCTCTTGAGGTATTCCTGGGGCTCTTTGGGTAGGTCTGGGAGGCCTTTTCGAACCGTCTTGGGCCTCACTGTTCAAAAAGAGTGGGGTAATGAATCCAGGTCCCCCTCTCGGAGGCTCAAACATGAATGATGTCTTGGGGCGCTCTTGGGGCACTCTTGGGCCCTCTTGGGGCTCTCTTGGGCCGTCTTGGGATCACCCTGACGCCTCAAGAGCCCATCGGAAGCGAAAAGGCGAGAAGGCAAAAAACAGTGATTTGCCACAGGTGTTTGAAGGATTTTGGCCCCTTGGGTGGGTCCTTGGAGGGCTCGGAGGGCACTTGAAACCGTATTGGGCCCATGTTGAGGCCTCTTGGATGTGTGTCGGAGGCTATCTTGAACCATCTTGAAGTATCTTGAGCCCCCTTGGAGGCCATCGTGGGCTCTCTGAAGCCCTCTTGGAGCCATCTCGGGTGACCTGGGGCGCGCCCCCCCCCTCCCAGGCTCAGGACAGGGGGTAGGGGGAGGAGTGAACCCCACCCTTTTCCCGAACAGGGGAAGGAGGGAGCTTTGGCAGAGAGGAGACAAAGTTCGTAAAGCCACCCTAGCCCAGAGGCAGGAAAGAGGTGGGAGGGAGGCGAGAGGAGAGGAGATGGGAGGGAGGCAGGAGATTAAGAGGGAGGCCAGAGGAGAGAGGGTGAAAGGCCGCCACCCCGTCGCGTTCGTGCCGCTCGTCTTGCTGCTTCGGGGAGGGCCTCACCTGGAGGATTGCCACTGCCAACAGTTGCCCTTCGGGCATCTCAGAGCAGGGCAGGTTCAGACAACGGTAGTTGGCCCACGGGTGGCCTTCTCGCCGCCACGGCTGGACGCAGCTCAAAAAGCTGGTGCGTTTGGACCCCTGGAGGGGTTTGGGGACCGATTTCGAGCCGATGTTGAGCTGGCGCTGTCTCAACTCGCCCTTCTCCAAGCATCTTCTCTTCTGCGTCTGCCGCACTCGGCGATCCCCGCTGCTGCTGATCCTGTGTGCGGCCCTTGGCGATCCTCGCTCCACCCTGCCGCTGCCAGCGACCCTCAGAGCCATCGCCGCCGCCACTCGCTGCCGATCCTATGGGCCACCGCTGCCACCACTCGCTGGCGAACCTCTGGGCCATCGCCGCTCGGGCGTTGCGTAATGGGGGGGGCGAGAATTGAGGGGCTGACGAAAGATGCACCGTTCGTGGACTCTCGTAGGGGCCCTCTGGGGCCCACAGGGTGCACGTTTGTGGCTTCGCCCCCCCCGTCCATCGCCCCCCTCTTGACGCGACGCCCAGGCCGCCGCCACTCGCTGCCGACCTCCTCTCTGGGCCGCCGCCGGCGCCTCCCTTGGAGCCGCCGCTGGCGACCTCCTCTGCCCCGCCCGGCCCGGCGGCAGGCCGCTGCCTGCCGGCGCCGCCCCGCTCGCTCCCGCCCCCGCCGCCCTGCTCGTCCCCGCGGGGCGCCCCCGCGCCGGGGGCCCGCAGGGCAGGCCACCGGGTGCCGACGCCGCCGCGCTCGCCGGCGCCGGAGGCCCCCGCCGCGCCGCCGGGCGCCCAGGGAGCAGGCGTGCGGGCCGCCTGCAGGGCGGCCGCGTCTTCGGCCCCGCGGCCTCCCTGTTAGATCGGGGGTGGGCAGAACCCCCAACAGTGGCACGTCGATCAGTGAATTGTCCGTCTTCGGTTCTCGAGAGGGCGCCGCGGCCGTCATTTTCCAGGCTGGCGCCCGCCAGGTTTGGGCCTCAGGTCGTTTCCATTATTACTGAAGGGAGGTCTGTCCATCCCCGGTTAGACCCCCTCGCGTCGTGAAGGGCACGGCGAGCAGCGCCGCCTGCCATTTTTCGAGTGGGGGAGATCGTCTGCAGAATTGGTGTTGACCCCCCAAAGTGATTCTCTCGCCGAGTCATGCGTAGAGTGTTTGTAGATCTACGAAGCTTCTGCGCATCTTTCATGGCTTCGGGGAACAGATCAGTTTTGGGGTAAAGCAATTCTGTAGACGACCCCTTCCTGGGATTTTTGGCCTCCATGGATACCCTCACCGGGCCTGTCTGGGGGGTGGCCGTGAGAGAGAAGCACGGGATGAAAAGTTGATCCCAGGGAATAGGCCGAGACCTCTGGGGGTCCGCTCTGTGGGGGAAAAAAAAGACGACGTCGGGGGTCTGGGACTCAGCATCGTCTTACCTATCCCCGTCCCCACTGGGCCATGGAATCTCAGTCCCACCAGCCCACCCTCCTAGGTGGGGATGGGCCGCGCGAAACCAGAAGGAGCAGGTATCTATACATACACATACATATGTATAGACATGTATGCATGTATGTATGCGTGTACGTACGCACGTATGTATGTATGTGGGTATGTATGAAATGTAATGAAATGTAATGTAGTGTAATGCCATGTCATGTAATGAATGTATGGATGTGTGTATGTATGTGTGCATGTATGTATGTGTGTATGTATGTGTATGTATGTATGCATGTATGCATGTATGTATGTATGCATGTATATGTGTGTGTGTCTATGTATGTGTGAATGTATGTATGAATGAATGAATGAATGAATGAATGAATGTGTGTATGAATGTGTGTATGTGTGTATGTGTGTATGTATATATGTACGCATGTATGTAGGAATGTGTATGGATGCATGTATGTATGGATGAATGGATGAGGGAATGTAGGTATGTATGCATGTATGCATGCATGCATGCATGCATGCATGCACGCATCTATATGTATATGTACACATACATATGTGGATGTGCATATGTAATGTATGTGTGAGTGTATGCATGCATGTATGTATGTAGGTGTGTATGTATGTATGAATGTATGTATGAATGTATGCATGCATGTATGTATGTATGTATGTGCGTACGCATGTATGTATGTATGTATGGATGGATGTATGGATGTATGAGTGTGTATGTATGTCTGCCTGTATGTCTGTCTGTACGAATGCACATATGTATATGAATATAGATATATGTACGTGCGTGCATGTATGTATGTATGTCTCTCTCTATGTATGTATTATGTATGTGTGTATAAATGAATGTCTGAATGTATGATTCACTGTATGTGTGTGTATGTATGTATGTATGTATGTATGTATGTATGTATGTTTGTATGTATGTATGTATGTATGTATGTATGTATGTATGTATGTATGTCTGTATATGTTCTCACCTATATGGGTCAGTCGGCCAGTGGATCCTAGGCCACGCCAGTGGAGGAAGGGGTCAGTTAAACGATGCTCAGGGTCTTCCACGGCAGCCGCCGCGCCGGCGAAGTTGAGGCACACGGGCCAGGCAGACACCCTGCCACGCTCGGCGTCCGAGGCCACCACCTGTGCATCTCCGGCCCCGTCGGAGCAGCAGCAGTCCAGCCCCGAGAGCGACGGGGACTCTCCAGTCCTGCAGGGCGGCGCGGCCGCGCTGCAGCCCGCCGAGCGGCAGGGCCCCCGGCGGAGCAGGCAGAAGCACCGGCAGGCCACGCAGCCTGCCCCTGCAGCGCCCCGCGTCACCGCGCCGGCGCCCTCCGCCGCGAAGAAGAAGGTGATGCCCCGGCGTGGTGCCCGCGCCGCCGACAAGGACGACGACCTGGACTGGCTGGTGCCGGCGAGGCCCGCGACGCCGACGTGGATGTGGGCCCTGCTGCTGTGCGCCGGCATCGCCGCGGGCTTGGGCCTCGGCCGGCTCGGCGGCGGGTCGCGCGCCCCGGGCGGCGGCGGCGGCGGGCTGCCGCGCGAGGCGCTCGACATGGACGTCGTTTACGTGCACGTCGTGGACATGGAGGGCGGGGCGCCCGCGGAAGGCCGGGCCGGACGAAATGGGGGGATTGGGAAAGGGGGGGTTACGAGATTTGCTGCATGCAGCTGGTTTCGGCCCCACCGAGGGGCCCATCCCTCGACACATAGCCGCCTCCGGCGCCGGGAGGCGCCGGGAAAAGCAGCTGCGCGAGCTGATTCTCAAACCCCCGCTTTGCTATCCCCCCCTTTTCGCCCGACCCGAGAAGGGCCGTGGGCCGAGCTGCTCGCGCCCCGGGCCGCGGGCCGCGGGGCGCGGCCGCCGGGGCGCCGGTGAGGCCTGCCCGCGGCCGGCCGGGCGGCGGCACCTCTCCTGGCGGCGCGCACAAGGGGGTGGGGGGAGGGGGAGGGCTTCTTAGAACCCAGACCTCCTCGAGTCATGAAAAAATCACGACGGGAGGTTTTTCGCTATTTTCGGCCTCTCAGGGCCCTTACCGGGCCCCGGGACCGTCAAAAAACGACTCGGGATGAAAAACCGGTCCCGGGGAATGGGTCTGGACCTCTGGGGGTCGCGTCATGAAAAAATCATGACGTCGGGGGTCTGGGAAGGAGGCTGCTTCTTAGGAGGCGCCGGCCTTACATCTATAGATGAGGCCCGCGCCTTCTAAGAAGCAGGGGTGCTCCTAAGAAGCCCCCCCCCCTCCCCCCACCCCCTTGTGCGCGCCGCCAAGTCTCTCTGGGGCGAGAGCCCCGGGGCGCCGGGCCGACCCGCGCCCCGCAGTGGTGCCTCGCCGCAGCTCGGCCGGCCGCGCGGCCTGAGGGGCCGCGGTCGGGCGGCGCGCGCCAGCGTCGCGGTGCGTCTCGGCTTGCCTATTGGCCTACCAAGGAGTGTTCTGGGGACCCCTTTTTCTGTGGTCTGCACGAGACGTTCTCAGAACATGTCTGGCTGGGACATTTCTGTCTGTGGTCTGCACGAGATGTTCTTAGGACATGTCTGGCTTGTTGTTGTTATAAGCGTACTTCTGGGTTCTAAGAGCATGTCGTGGTAGGCCTGTAGGAATGCCAGGACGGCCGGTCCCTGCTCAACAGCGGCAGCGCGGCTGCACGTCCAGGAAGAGCGGCAGGAACCCCGATCACCGAAGAAGAGAAGCGGCATGCGGCGTTGTTGTCATCGCTCGGGCGCGTGCATTTTTGTTTGTCGGCGAGGGCCATCGAGGAGCATCTTGCGAACAAATAGGCTCGCGAACTCGAAAAATGCACGGGGAATGGACGTCCCAACGATGGCGAGGGCATGAACGCGATGTTTCAGAGGTCGCGCGGATTTCTTGGATCGGCGCTTGCCCCCAGCCCTGGCGCTCGGAGCGCGCCAGGGGCGGCGCCGCCAGGGGGTCCAGAGCCAGTCCAAGAAAATTGACACGGGCCACCGAGCGTTGGTACGCTTATGCAGACTCTCTTCTTGAAGATCAGTTTTGCAAACCTTGGTCGTGCCCTGTGCGGCCTCCAATCGCTGCGGCGCTGCCTTCATGGCCCACAGAATAGCTTAGATGGGGTGCATTTATCCAGCATGCGCTGCCGCGCGCGCGTCCGCCACCACCCGCTCGTTCCGCTCTCCTGGGGGGGGGGAGGAAGGATGGGGCTTGGGGTGGGTAGGTGCGGTTTGCGGCGCGCGCATGGGGTTGGCGCCGGGGTGGGGGGCCGGCCTTCTAAGAAGGCGGTGGGGTGATTGGAAGGCAGGGGCAGGGGGCTCCATACAAGCCCTCCGGGATTCAAAGAATCCAGGGAGGAAAAGCCGCCCAGACCCCGACAGCTGGCGTTTACTAAACGGCCCCGGGCGTTTCCTAAACAGCCTTGCCCTGTTCGATTCCTCCCTGGGGTGCGCTTGCTACACGGCCTCGTTTGCCGGGCGTTTTTTGTCTAATGGGGGGTGGGCTCTCTTCTCTGCTCTCTATACTCAGCCCCCTGCCCTGCTGCTCCTTGCCTGCCAGGGGGGGATGGAGGGGGACGGCGCGACCCGTGGCGGCGCACCGGCGCATCTTGGGCTCGCCGCGCCTGGGAGGCGGGTGCGAGAGACCTCGCCGCACGACGGGCCGCGCGCCTGGGGCAAGCGGGGCCCGGCGCGCGCACCGGCCGCAGCGCGGCGCGGTGGCGGATATACCTGCGATAGGCGGCCCTTGCACGTCGGGCGCCATCGCCAGGAGTCGAGGGGGGGGGGGGTCAGGCGTCGTTGCGCGAGGTCGGGCCCCGGAAGCCGAACCTCCGGGCCAGTTCGGGAGGTCGCCGCGGCGATCGCGGCGGCCACACATCGGGGCGAGGCTCTTGTGAAGGAGTAGCTTCCACCTTCGCTTCCTCCTCCCTCCTCCTCCTCCAACTCCTCTCCTCCCCCCATTACCTCCCTCGCTGGCGGCCCCTTTCCAGCCGCCCCCCCCCCCTAGGATGCAGACGTGGCCCATGATCAACTTTGTGGCGACAGAGAGTTGTGTCGGCTGATGTCCAGCATGGGCAGTCACATGTTTCCTGGGTCAGGGGTCGACGATCACGCAACTACAGATGAGCTGAGGGGGGGCCAGAAGCTACGAGGTGGCACAGTGCCACGGCTCTCGACCGCCGCATCCAGGCAGGCGGTCGCGGCAGCCTCGTCTCACCGGGCAGCTCCGGCGCGACGCGGGCTGCAGTATAGATCCGCGTTGCCGCAGCAGTCCGCTAGAGCGCTCAACAGATGCGGGGTGTGGAGGCGAGGGGTTGGAAGCCGGGGGGGAGCGGGCTCCTCCTCCTCCTCCTCCTCCTCCTCCTCCTCCTCCTCCTCCTCCTCAGCCGAGCATTCAAGCAGGATCTCATAGGGACGTTGACCCAAGATTCTGAGCAAGGCCCAACAGGCTCGGCGGATTTCGTAGTTCTGGGGA